CCCCCTTCGCTCCGAGACACACAGCCATGGCGGCCACTCCCGGAGCCCACAGCCACGGCAGGGCTCGCTCCCCACGCCGGGACCTGGCGCGTGACGCTGCAAGACCCTGGGCCCCAGGCTGGCACCGACACAGCGGGCGATGTGTCCTGAGCTCGGGTGCTGCTGCCCAGCCCCACCGGCGAGTGCTTCCTGGACACGCGCCCACACAAGGCTGTTTCCAGCAAACACGGATGGGTGTGTGGGAGCTGCCTCACCCCCTGGCCGCACCAGGCAGCCTTCTGAGGGCCGGGCCCCACGGCAAAGCAACGCAGGCCCCGTGCAGCCGCCCACAGAAGCTCACCGAGAAGGCCGGGCCTTGGAAAGGGCACTCCACCTCCTGCCCTGCACCCCGGCTCAGGCCGTGAAGACACGAAGGCAAAGCCGCTGCGGGGAGTCCCCCGTGGCCCATGCACGGCTTGCTGCTGGCCCTGCCTCCAGGTCCACAGCACAGTCGGGTTCGGGAAGCTCCTAGAGGGGCTTCGCGCCTGCCCTCACGCAGGAAGGACACGCCTCGTTCTCGTCTGCACATTGCACGCGTCTGACCTTATGACTGCACATGCCACGCGTCTGACTTTCTGAACAGCTAAAACCCAGCGGCCGACACGGACAGTGCCAACGGTGCGTGCGGACCGGGGCCAGATCCGTGGGTGCCCACCATCACCGAGGCGCCCGCCTGCACTCGTCAGCCGGCAAACACCACTCGCTATCCCGGCCGAGGTTCCGAAACGGGCTTCCTTACCTTTTCCGGGACTAAGATTCTGGTCTACAAAGACCTTTAGTTCTCCGTTGGCTTCAATTAGAGCGGCCTGCGGAAAGTAACAACAGCGGTGTCAATGCCACGCCTCGGGCCGCGCCGGCCTCAGCACCGTCTGGGCTCCTGAGCATAGCCACCCCTCCGGCTTCGGCTCAGTCCCGCAGCCACCTCGGCCCGAGGAGGGAGAGCATGAGAAACGAACGTCCCCAGCTTCCGCCTGCACACCCTCCTGAGAAAGTGGGCAACCTCGCACTGTGCCTCCCCACCCTGCCCTTACCCAGGGCCATCCGCGCCGTCCACACTGCCTGCCCCTGCTGTCTTCGTAGCCCTCAGGACTCGGATCCTAAAAGCTCCATCCCACCCATATCTCAGGCTCCACTGGGGTTCCCAGAACATGCCCCAACTGGGGGGGGACACAACTGCACCCACACAGAGACCGGGAAGGGCGTGGCCACGAACACAGCTCACGACGGCCGGACGCCCAGGCACAGGAGCGAAGCTGGTAGAGGCCAGTGCTGTGGGCACGTCCAGGGGCCCCCAAGATCCCGAGAGGACACTACCTGCTCCGTGGCGTGGAGACGTAGGGTGCAGCCCACCTACAGCCCGAGCACAGCAGCGGGCCCACCCTGTCCTCAGGAGGCCGGGGACCTCTGGGCTCCCCTCAGCACCGGCAGGCCTGGCGGGCTCTGCCGCGGGACACCCATGCCGAACATGCCAAGCACACCCAGCGGGGCAGAAGGGAGTGCAGGTTCCCTCGTCACGCATGGACACTGGACACGTGGATGACCCTCCACGGCAGGGACAGGAGGGTGGGGCACGCTCCCTCGTCACGTGTGGAGTGGACAGAGGACATGTGGACGTCCCTCCACGGCAGGTGCCACAGCGACAACCCCTGGCCCAAGGAGGTGACTCCTGGGGAGGTGGGCAGCAGGCAGGGCCCTGGTCTAGCACAGGACCACCACATGGCCTTCAGGGCTACAGGGTCAGAGGCCACAGAGATCCCGTGAGCACCACCCCAGCCCCGCCCACCTGGAGGAGGTCCCACTGACCGATGGGCACCTGCTACCCTGAGTGCGGCCAGCACACAGGATGGGCACCTGCTGACACTGCCGCTCCAGCCCCGCCGTGACTGGGAGTAGGACACTCAGTGACTGCAGGGCCGTGAGCTCGGACGTACCTGCGAGGGCCTCGTCACACCGTCACTCCCAAGGGGGTCCCCGTGGGGAGGGCGCACGGGGTGCGGGGAGGCCCGGGGGTGGAGGAGTCCGACCCGGTGAGGCCCCAGGATCTGTCTGAGCCCCCTGACCTTTGAGCTCCGCTTTTGGTCGGATCAACACGTTGGCAAGGCTACTGTTGTGCACCCCCCGACCTTGGAACAAAGCTTGGGTCAGTTAGCATGTCAGCAAGGCTGCTTGCTATTTGCTCCAGAGAATTGAGGCAGCCTCACTGGGAA